ATTCCAGTGCTTTAGAGTTTTGTTTTTTATGACCATCTCCCCTGGAATTTATTTTTATGCATCATTTAAGGATGAGAAAAAACTTGTTTCCCAATTAATAGTTTTCCACTGATTTCCATTGATTGATCAATGCACTATTTATCTAATGATATGATACACCAATTTTGTCATATATATGCATCCTTGATTTAATGCCACTTGAGCAGAATTAATTATGATATATATATACACACACACACACACACACATATGTATATATACATATACACACATATATATACACATATATATGCATACATATATATACATATATACATATACACACACACACACACACAGTTGACTCTTAAACTACACAGATTTGAACTGCTTCAGTCCACTTACATGCCAATTGTTTTTCATAAACACTGTACAGTCCTATAAATGTATGTTCTCTTCCTTATAATTTTCTTAATAACATTTTCTTTCCTCTAGCCTACTTTATTGTAAAATACAGTATATAATGTATATAATATGCAAAATATGTGTTAATCTGTTGTTTATGTTACCAGTAAGGCATCCGGTCAACAGTAGGGTATTAATGGTTAAATTTGGGGGAAGTCAAAAGTTAAAAAAAAATTTTTTTTTTCTTCAACGTTTATTTATTTTTGGGACACAGAGAGACAGAGCATGAACGGGGGAGGGGCAGAGAGAGAGGGAGACACAGAATCAGAAACAGGCTCCAGGCTCTGAGCCATCAGCCCAGAGCCTGACGCGGGGCTCGAACTCACGGAACGTGAGATCGTGACCTGGCTGAAGTCGGACGCTTAACCGACTGCGCCACCCAGGCGCCCCGGGAAGTCAAAAGTTTTAAGAGGGTTTGTGACTGTTTGTGGGGTCAATACCCCTAACTCTCACCATGTTCAAGGGCCAACTCTCTCTATACATATATATGTATTTCCTCCCCTTCAGCTTCTAAGTACTGTTGTGAGCTCTCAGCCAATAGGAGCTGGTATGTATTGTGATGGACTGTATAAAATAGTTCTTGGCCAGTAAGCATAAGTACACTATAGCTTTCAGCTACAGAATCTGCTACTTTGCTAACCATTTGGTGAATATATTCTGCAGTGTGTGTAATTTATTATGCTATGGCTTCTCTTTCGTTTGTTTTGTATTCTGAGAACAGTTTGTCCAAAATGACTGGTTAAGTGTGTAGAAATAACACTTGATATATTTAATATATACAAGGTAATGGTGTTATAATGGTACTTAAAATATAAGTTTTGAAGAGGCTGGAGGTGCTTTCCAGGATACAATCAAGTAAGCAGATTGTTAAGATCATCAAAAAGATATATATTGATAAGTGACAACTGACATTAAAAAGCCCATTATAACATCACTATGATTTGGATTGACCAACAATTATATGAAGATACTTAAGGAAAAGATTATGGCAGGAATCTCATCCCCATTTCAGAGAATCTGAGTAGATTGTAGGAGTGGTTGCCAAAGCAGGATACCAGCAAAGCATATCCCATAGGGATTTATGATAGTGATTCTCCTATAGAATTGATTCAGTTATGTTTCTCTTTCCAGTAATACAATCCCTCCATTAAATGGGGTATGGGTGTGCTAAATTCCTGTAAGTATTCACGGGTCTGTTTCAGGAATTTAAATTCTGTAATATTAATTTATGTGTTCATTCCTGCATCAATACAACAGTTTTAATTACTATAACCTCACGTTTTATTATAGTACAAAAACATTTTGAAAAATATCTTGAATATTATTTATTACTTATCTTTCTAGATGAACTTCAAGAAAAGCTTCTCTGTCTTTTTAAATACTATTAGGATTTTTATTGGGATTATACTAACTAGGTGATTTGAGGAAACTCTCATAGTGTTCCTCCCCAGATTCATATTTTTTATATCCTTTAGCAAAGTTTTCTCATACCAATCCTACAGTTTTGGAGTTTCTTACTGGTTATTTGGCAGATTTTATTGCTCTAGGTTGTGGCAAACTTTTTTCAAATATATTTTAAAATTATGTTTTGTTGGTGTTTAGGAAAGGCAAATACTTTATCTTATCGGTAGTCATTTTGCTGACCTCTCAAAGAAATAGTTTTTCTTTTGATTGTTGGATCTTTTTGTTGATAATTATGACATTTGTAAAAACCGACAGTTCTGCCTCTTTTTACCCAATACTGCTCTTTTTCTTGTCTTATTCCACTGCCTTAGAAATTTGACTGATTGTAATGGGAATTATTAATTATATCTTTGTAAGTCTCTAATGGATTTGCTTTATCAGGCCAAGTAAGCTTCATTCTATTCTTATTTTACTGATAGTTTTATTTTTTCAAGATTGGCAAGGTGATTGTAGTAAATCCTCTTTACTATATAAGGTCTATATAAATTTCTTTACAAAATGTATGAAGACTATGACCTATTAATATTTTTAATATTTGTAAATGTTCTCATTCATGCTGGAAAAATGTGAATTATCTGTTTAGTTTCCATATGTAGTTGTTAAAATAACATCTTTTATGTATGAGAGTTTTGTTAAAATTTCCCTCTATTAATGTAGATTATACATCTCTCTTCATATTGTTTTGTTTTCTTTTTATATTTCAATGTTGAGTTTTTAACTACATAAAGATTCATGATGCTTGTAACTTATGGGGGGTTTAATCAGCAAAACATATGCCATGTTTACTTTGACTAAAAGTATCACGCCTAGGTTCTCTTTGTAAGCATTTATTTGGTATATTTTTCATCCTCCCTCTACATCCAACATTTTGTTTAGATGTGTCTCCTGGTCTCTTGTAAACAGCTTATCATTAAATAAATTTACTCCCCAATCTAATAATCTATCTTTTATGAGGTTAATTTAACATATTGACTTTTAGTTAATATAGTGACTTTAGTTTAGCATATATTTGGTATTTTCTTTTTGCTCTAGTTTCTTCCTTATTTACTTTCTATCTTCAGCCGAATTTGTTTACTTTGTTCACTGGGCCATACTTTTTTTTTTTTTTTTCCCCTGTCTAGGAATTTTCAAGTAATTCATCGCATTTCTCTCTTGCTTGTCCTTGAATTTTAAATAACGTATTTAAACACAGGTTTTTGGCTATAATGTCAATCATTTGTGTCAGTAACCTCCTTCCCAAACTACATAAGATTATTAATATACTTAGACCAATCCTAACATCTCCCAATCTCTCATGCTTTGTGGATATCATCTGGAATTTTATTTATAGATTTTAAAATATTTGCTTTATATTGTGGCTCAATTTTTATGTGAATTTTATCTTAATAACTATGATAATTGTAATTTCATGAAAAATAATATTTTATCAGTTTCACTGTTACCTCTTTCAATCCGTGTGTTCCTCTTAGTCGTATATATTTATTTTCGATATCTTTAAGTGATACATCAGAAAACACTGATGGTGGCAAAGTTCTGAGACTTTTAATATATTAAAATGCCCTAATTTTCCCCTCAAAATTAAATGATAGTTCAGCTGGGCAAAGAAATCTAAGTTAAAAATAATGGTCCTTTAGAACTGCAAAAATTGTTTCCACTTGCTTACTGCCTGGGAGATCAAACGAGAAATCTAACAGCAATCTGAATATTGTTCCTTTAAAATTACCTTGTTTATGTTTTATCTTTTGAGAAGCTTTTAGGGCCTGTCTGCATTTTCGTGGAGATCGGAAATTTCCCAACATGTCTAGGTGTGTGTCTTATTTTTCCCCACACATATGCAGACATTTTATTAGTTTCTGCAACAAGAGGACAATAATACCAATTTTTAAATATAAGTCTGAGGTCATCTGAGATGCCAACCAAATACACGGAAGAAAGATAAATGTCTTGCAAGAGGTTTAGCACAGATCTTGGAGAACTTGTGCTCAATGGGAAGGGGAGCAGCCCAGAGGAGGGGGAGTAAAAGGGGGCAGAGGGTCAGATGAAAGGGTAGTGGTGAGGGTGATGGATCTGGTTGCCTGCAGTTGCTAGTTATCCTGAAGCAACTTTAGCAATTATGCCTAAAATTCCGTAGTCACTTTCAAACACCTCCATATGATACCCTCAAAATCTGAAATCATGGGGCGCCTGGGTGGCGCAGTCGGTTAAGCGTCCGACTTCAGCCAGGTCATGATCTCGCGGTCCGTGAGTTCGAGCCCCGCGTCGGGCTCTGGGCGGATGGCTCAGAGCCTGGACCCTGTTTCCGATTCTGTGTCTCCCTCTCTCTCTGCCCCTCCCCCGTTCATGCTCTGTCTCTCTCTGTCCCAAAAATAAATAAACGTTGGAAAAAAAAATTAAAAAAAAAAATCTGAGGGGCGCCTGGGTGGCGCAGTCGGTTGGGCGTCCGACTTCAGCCAGGTCACGATCTTGCGGTCCGTGAGTTCGAGCCCCGCGTCGGGCTCTGGGCTGATGGCTCGGAGCCTGGAGCCTGCTTCCAATTCTGTGTCTCCCTCTCTCTCTGCCCCTCCCCCGTTCATGCTCCGTCTCTCTCTGCCCCAAAAATAAATAAAAAATGTTGAAAAAAAAAATTTAAAAAAAAAAATCTGAAATCAGTAGATGAACTGTAGCTGCAAGGTTCACAAAATAATCAATGAAGCCAGAATGAGACAACCCAGAGAGAAAATCCCGGCACTTATTCTCAATCTGTCCTTCCTCAATTTAAAATAAACTCTAATAGGGGTGCCTCGGTAGCTCAGTCACTTAAGTGTGGGACTTCACTCAGGTCAGGATCTCAGGATTGGTGAGTTCCAGCCCCACATCTGGCTCTGTGCTGACAGCTCAGAGCCTGGAGTCTGCTTAGGATTCTGTGTCTTCATCTCTCTCTGCAACTGCCCCACTTGTGCTCTCTCTGTCTCTCTCAACCTCTCAAAAATAAAACATTAAAAATTTAAAAATAAAATAAAATAAACTCTAATATACCTGAGGTGAGATTCAGAAAGTAGCAGCAGAGCCAGCTGGGTCTTCTACTGAACTTTTCATCAAATACCAAGAAAGAACAAGGGGCAAGGCAAATTTTTATTTTTATTTTATCTTATTTTAAAATAGAACAACCTGAAGTTATTCTATTACAAAGGGACATGGCTGAATAGGTAGGAAACAGATTCTCCGTTGTGAGTTCTCTTGATGGCTTCCGCAAGGATCATGGAGATGTCGATCGCCTCTATCTTGGAGCAATGTTTCATCTTACCCTCCTGAGGTATGGTATTGGTGACGACCACCGCTTCAAAGCACGCACTGTTGATGCGAGCAAGGGCTGGGCCAGAAAAGATTCCGTGAGTCAAGATCGCGTAAACTCTGGCGGCTCCAGCGGAGAGAAGTTTGTCAGCTGCATGACAGATTGTACCACAAGTATCAGCCATGTCATCCACAAGGATGGCCACACGATCCTTCACATCCCCCACTAGCACCATACGGTCCACTTCATTGGCCTTCTTCCGTTCTTTGTGAATCAAGGCAAAGGCCACATGCAACCTGTGTGCAATGGAGGTCGCTCTCTTAGCTCCACCAGCGTCTGGTGACACAACAGTGCAGTTCCTCCACTCAGAGATATTCTCCCTTATCCATTTCAGGACAGCTGGCTCCGCATAGAGATTGTCTACGGGGATATCAAAAAACCCCTGAATTTGAGAAGCATGTAAGTCCATGGTGATGATATGATCTGCACCTGCTACAGACAGCATATTTGCAACAAGTTTGGCGGATATTGGGGCCCGGCTCTTATCCTTCTTATCCTGCCGGGCATAAGGGAAGCATGGGATGACCGCAGTAACCCGGCTGGCTGAAGCAATCTTGCAGGCATCAATCATGATCAAAAGCTCCATTAGACTGTCATTGATTTCGCCACAACCACTCTGCACTATGTAAACATCCTCTCCTCGCACACTCTCGCCAATTTCCACGCAGGTCTCCTGGTTGCTGAATTTCTTGGTCACCACCTTGCCTAGCTCCAGGCCCAGGCGGTCGGCAATTTTCTGGGATAGGTCCTGATGGGAGCTGCCCCCGAAGATTTTGATATTTGCCATTTTGCCCAATCACTCGAGGTACTTACTCTTCATCCGGCGATCACTGCTGCTGTCAAGATTGCAACCGAAGTCAGACCACAGACTAACAAACGACTTTCCGTTGTTACCGGGCAGTTACCCGCCCGGTTCAGACGGTGGGCGCGAGCTGGTCTATGTTGATCTTGAGTCTTTGGGAAAAAAATTCCTGCTTGGCATCCACTTTGCACTTTTAAACTAAAAAAATCAAGTCTTTCTTCAGTTCATGGAAGTTTTACTTCTGTTAGTGCCTGTAGTAGTTTCCTAGGGGTGTGAAATTTAATGCCTAAAAATATAAAGTTTCTGTAAGGTAAAGGATGTATACGTTTAAAAGGAAAGTTACAGACTGGAGAAAATGTCTAACAATGTGCTTCCAATGGAGTGAGGAAAAAGACCAAAAACATTTGGAAATGGTATGAACAGGCAATTTACAGGGGAAAAAAGATAATAAACATATGAAAAAATGCTAGTAATCAGGAAAATGCTAATTTTCACACATTAGGTGGGCCAAAATTATAAGATAGATAAACTCCTCCATTGTAATAGAATGTATAAGTGTGAAATCTTGCAAGGAAAGTTTTGTTTCATAAAACCTTTGACTCAATGTATCTCCTTCTAGGAATCTACTCAATAGAAATATTCATAGACAACCCCGAAATATATTGATAATTTTATTTGTCACTGTGTTAATTCATTCAGTTAATATTTCATGAGGTATTGTCAGTCAGGTATTGTACCATTTATAGAATATAGGATGGTGAATGACAAATAGTATATCTCTCTAGAGTTACTCATAAAAACAAAATCTGGAAACTAACAAATGTCCATCAATAGGTAAAGTATCATATAATGTATTATACAAACATAAGCAGACATTAAAGAAACTGACTTATGTGCAGTCATATGGAAATATTCCCAAGATATTTCTAAATGTAAAAAACCCAGTCAAAAAGGTACACAATATATGAAATTTATGTATTTAGAATTAAGAAATAGTTAAAGCATCAAGTCATTACGGAGGTCCGTTTTATGATGATTATCTCTAGAGAGGGGTGTAGGTTGGTGGCAGTTTGGGATGAAGAAGGACTGTCACATTTTATTGCCATTTATTAATGTAGTATTTGAACTTTTATTACTTTTGTAATTAAAAAAAGACTAATAAAAATATGTGTGATGATTAAGTGTTAGCAAATTTTAAGTACACAGCTTCCAAAATGCATTAGGAGTTGGAGTAATGGGGAAAGAAATGGTAGGGACCACAGATACCAGAAATTTCAAGAACAAATTGTATCATAAAAATAATGGAAGCATCAGATATAGATCATACATTTTTATCCTGCTAATTGTGTGTCTGACTTTTGGTTCTGCAATATTTTGATGTAGCCTAAATATAAATAACCATTTTTTCATAGTTTGAAATTGATAAATAATCTGTTGGATATATTTTCTCACCCTACTTGTGAGCTCTCCCACTGAGTGGGGTTCATGAATCGGGTAAGGACTGGAGTAGGCAACAGAAATCGGTAAGATTTGACAATGTCTATGAAACACATCACTTTGCTAGAAAAAAAAAGTGTAGTTATGTTAAATGTGCTATTAATATAAAACCATATAAACAGCTATGTCAAAAAGGCTAAATCAAAATGTCCTGCTGCTGATCCAATCACCTCTCTTCTCAACATCGTCAAGCTTTTCTCCTCAATTCAGACTCTTCATGGTTGATAGTGCCTGCCAGCTCATTTCTGCCTACAACCCTCCATTCATGTTCCTTCCTATCATAAAATCAGCAGACCCATCTATACTGTATAATTCTCATCCTCAGCCTGACTACATACAGTGATTTCTAAAGAAAATTCTGTGGCTTAATTTAGCTGCACTAAAAAGTACTTGCAGCTTCAATTAAAATGATTTTTCTCTCAGTGTTCTCAATGTGTCACACATTTTTCACTTTTTAAAGAAAAACAAAACAGATTTTTAAATAGACTTATTATTACCTAAATAGGACTGAATGCTAATGTAAACATTAAAAACACATAGTTGGTTGCATTGCCTTGAGGTGTTAAGTAGAAGAAATTTTTGTCTTGCTGCTATTTTTTGCTCCAAGCTCTGGCTGTTGCAACACCTTATAGTTCCAGGGATTTGTCTAAAATCATAAAATGTTAAAGGTGGAAATAGCCTTCCAGACCACCCAGTCCAACATCCCGATTCACAGACGGGGAACTGAGGCCCAGAGAAATGAAGCAACTGGTTTGGGATCTAAAAGCTAATTAGAGGCAGAGTGTGGCCTAGAATGTGGGATTCCTGAATTTCCAAATAGCATTTTTCTCAGTCTATCATTTTTCTTTGAGGTTTATGAGAATGAAGGAAAAATGTAAAAGTCGGGCAGAAACTTTTACATAAAAATGTTACTTTTTTTATTATCAAACAACTACAGTAAGGAACAACTTTCCATATCTGAGACCGAATAATCCTTTTAAAAATTATTTCCTGAAACAAATGAACAATTGGTAGTGTCATGGAAATATCTCTGTTACGCTGACATTTCTGTTACATGAATCTATTGCAAGGGGATTTAGTTCCTCTTTACTTTGGTCTTTGTGGGTTGAGAAAGACATCTGTCTTATCATTGGCTGTTCCGAACAAAAGTTACAGGTAGGAATGATGCCTATTGAAGAACATATTCTCTGTATTTAAGACATCATATCTTAATAAATTACTCTAGATAAATAAATTGTGGTATAGAGAAAATGTCTATCTTTCTCCTTCCCAAGGTAAGCGTATTTAAATGTCATCTCTACAGATCTTTGAGAACTGCTATATTTTGAAGGTCTTTTGAGTCAATACCCAGAATATATATATATATATATATATATATATATATATATGTGTGTGTGTGTATATATATATATATAACCTTGGTGATAGTTTCTTGCTTTACTGATTATTTTTTACCCTTTGTAATTCCAACATAAATAATTCAAAGAGAGAGCCTTGATGCAGCTTGATCAGCTAAGGAGAAAAGAAATTCAGTCAATTCTTTTAGAAAGTGGAGAAAAACAGTTGTTGTATTTTAAGTAAAATAAATGCTTTCACTAAACATACTTGCAGTTGACAAAATGCTAGATGTTTAGGTGGCAATTATAGTTCTTTGATAAACTGTCAAATCTTGTCACAACACATGTTACAAACAAGGACAGATTTAGATGTCCTTTATGACAGCTTTGTGTAGGTTGAGAATGTTTGGCAGTTAATTTCAAACAAGGAACATATTTTTCTTTCCAGCAGTTATCTGCTTGTTTATTAGGAAGAGTTTCTTTATGCCTTTAATCTTACTCATTTGACTCACAGTTCCAGATCATTATTGTAACATTACCTTACCTCATTTATTTTGTTCATAATAACCATCCACAATACTTTGAGAAAATTTCCCACAGAGCTTTACATTGGTAGAAATACTTTAAAGTTTGTTTTGTAATTTTTTACAATTAAAGTTGACTACTGTGTGTGTTTATTGAGCTTTTAGTTGGAAATCCATCATTTTATACAATAGATGTGAAGATAATGATTAGGTAAACAAAGCTGAGTAAAACAAATAAAAGAAAAGGAGAAAGATTTGTGATTCAGAAATGCCCCTTTAATTTTGAGAGTTATTGTAGACTTACGAGGGTATTTTTGAAACATGTTTACAAATTAAAAAAAATTCCAGAGAGCTTGAAAATCCTAGTATGAAACAATAATCTTGGAATAAAAATGATGTCACATATGCTGAATAATATGTACTTGCAATGGCAGATGAAGCAGTATATATGGAGATTAGCAAATTGCAAATAAGAAATATCTCCCCAATATTTATATGAAATATTTTAAAGTGTTTTAAAACAGTTTTTGATGATGGATCTTTCCCTTTTGTGTATAATATTAGTTTCATGAAATTAGTAAAAAGATTCATGTTAATTATATTTTGACAAAACACAAGCTCCATTTATGCTATTCAATTCTTTTTAAAAGATATTTTAGGGGCGCCTGGGTGGCTCAGTCGGTTAAGCTCAGGTCATGATCTCATGGTTCGTAGGTTTGAGCCTCTCGCCGGGCTCTGTGCTGACAGCTCGGAGCCTGAAGCCTGCTTCAGATTCTGTGTCTCCCTCTCTCTCTATTCCTCCCCTGCTTGTGCTTTCTCTCTCTCAAAAATAAATTAAGATTAAAATTTTTTAAAAAACATATTTTATCTTTTTCAATTGTGATCATTTGTTTAGTCCTCATAATAAACACTAAGACCCATTGTCCATTCAGGTAAGTAAAAACTGAGTGTATGTGCTTTGGAATGATGTAGTGATTCTCAGACGTGAAGGACATCAAGATTTCCAGGCAAGACTGTTAGAATATACATTCCTGAACCCTGTGCCTATAGGTATTGATTAGTGGGTACAGGGTGGAGTCCTAGGCTTTGTGTCTCTTTTTTTTATTATTTAAAATTCTTTTAATGTTTATTTATTTTTGAGACAATGCAAGAGACAGAGTGCAAGCAGTGGAGGAGCAGACAGAGGGAGACACAGAAACTGAAGCTCCAGGCTCTGAGCTGTCAGCACAGAGCTGACTTGGGGCTCAAACTCACAAACCGTGAGATCATGACCTGAGCCAAAGTCAGATGCTTAACTGACTGAGCCACTCAGGCGCTCAGGTGTCCCCCCAGGCTTTGTGTCTAATAAGATACCAGATAACGCTTAATGCCGCTTTCTGCTGACCGCACTTTTGAGAGCCACTGGTTTTTATCATCAACATTTATTTTGCCATTTGGGAAAATGAAAGGTATAGTTTTCTTTTTCTTTGACTCATTTCACTAGCTGTTGTGATGTGGCATTTTGATTTTGCTTCTAGATCTTTTTCTCTTCATATTCTTCTTTTCTATGTATGAATATTACTTTCACATATCACATAATTCTTTAAGAACTATAAACACACACACTTCAACTTAAAATACCTGTATAATGTTCCAGAAATATTTTGACAAGTACATGTAGGATATGAACTCTTGTTATTTTGGAGATTTAAAAAATCCATTAGGCATTTGAGCATCTGAAAATCAGTTTCTACCTACCAGCCCAGTAAGAATTGAATGAAAACTAAGAGGCTCTCCAATTTATTGTCTGATTTCCCCTCCTTGAATTTCTTACAGTATTCACCACTGAGATAGTTCTTTTTGTCATACCCTGAAGACCGTTTGGCTGTCCATGAGGATACTAAGCATTGTACAGGGTAAATACTTGCTAGTTTGATTTGATATTCCCC